GGCACATCAAACAATGTGATACAACATGCTAACAAACTGAAGAATAAAAACCATATGATTATCTGGATAGATTCAGAAAAAGCTTTTGACAAAATTCAACATCCATTTATGATCAAAACGCTCCAGAAAGTGGACATGGAGGGTCTTTTAAAGCCTCTCACTTGTTCATTGCACAAGCCATAAGCAGTGCTGCCTTTTAATTTGCACCAATCACTCAAATAAAATATCATCAACTAATACACAGATGAATTAATGTAGTTTTGTGTGTAATGTAGTAATGTAATTTTCACTTGTGTTAAAAAGTAATTGCCATTTATTTTATTTAAAGGTAGCTTAGTCTGGATCAATCTTATACCATTTTTAGGTTTTTGCAAACAAAAAGAGCACAACACTGTCTAATGAAGTGAAATTCAGCATCAGATGAATAGTTGCAGAGTGTCACTAAACTGGTATACAAATACCCTTGAGTTGATGTATCTTTTCATGTATTAAAATGCAATACTGTTCTATTTTATTTAAAGTTTATATTGTCTATATCTGTCACATTTGATTCTGCCAGCAGAATGGCCAACACAGTTCTTAGTATGATTAAATATAGCTCATTCAACAAATATTTATTGTCCACTACAATCTGGTAATATTTTCAGGCAGTGAATTACTATCTTCTTTCATTCATAAGATTAAATTGCAAAAATTATGGAAGGAGGATTTTTTTAGGAAATTTCTTCTAAATGGACTTCAGGAAAAAAATAGAATGTACATATTTTAATGTATGCTGAGTTATAATTTACCATAGTTTGGGACCAATAAATTATACATGAAATTGTACATGGTGTTATTATGCTTACTGTGGGCTTCTAAAAATAATTTATAAAATATTGTTTCTGGCTTGGTTATGTGTATTGGTCTTTTGTAAAGCCTTTGGCAATGCTGACATTTGAAATATAAATAGGTATAAATTCATCTTTTGTTCAAAGTAATAGAATTTCTTACAAATCAAATTTTTAAAAATCTCCCATTTAAAATAAGGCTTTATCAGATGAATATCTTATCAGAGAAAATATTATTTTTCATTGTTTATCATTGGGATCAAGGGGATGGTAGAAATTTGAAGTGAGTTGGAAAATGAATTCTTGTGACTTCAAAGGAAAACCTGACATTAAAAATTAAGAATTGAATGATCTAACAAGATTATTAAATACAAATATGTGCATCTAAGTCTATAAATATAAAATATAAAGTGAATCTCAGTGCTAAATATTTTTGTATTGAAGTGATATCAATGAACCTCTCTTGGAGGAATGATCTGCACTAGAATATCAGACAGATCCGCCCAACGGTGTCCATAAGCCAGCTTGTATTAGCTCAGACAGCCTATTCTTCTTACCTCTGCATTTAGAGGCATCTTGTTGGTAGCTATATATATCAGAAACAGTAAGAGTACTCACACTGTGGAAATCTGCAGATATCACAAATCATGACCTCTTTACCTCTTAAGACTGGTTTCCAACACACCTCTGCACCAGACCTAAACTTATAAGCCTGTTGATAGTTGTGATGGGGAAAAAAACCATCAAGTCAAAAGCATCTGAACATGTGGAGCACAAGGCTAAGATTTTAGGCTGGCCATACAGAGGGAGCAGTGACTAAAAATAACAAGGAAGCATCAATTTCATATGAACCAATGTCATACCCTTGTCTTCTGGCATCACTGTCATCTCGGGATGCACCAAAGACAAGTGTTCTCTCTTTTGCTCATATTTTCTTCTTCCTCAACTGTGTTGGAGTTCTCCAGAGAAGAAACAGAACCAAGGATATGATAATTTACTATGGGAATTGGTACATATGATTATGGAAGCCACAAAGTCCCATGATCTGCTGTCTGCAAGATGGGGAACCAGGAAAGCTGAGGGTGTAATTCAGTCCAAAGGCCTGAGAATCAGGAGTTCCGATGCCAAAGGGCAGATGAAGATGGATGTTCCAGCTCAGGAAGAGAGAATAGAGTTTGCTCTTCCTCCATCTTTTTGTTCTATTCAGGTCCTCAGTGGATTGGATGATGCCCTCCCGCATTGGTAAGGGCGATCTTCTATATTCAGTCTACTGATGCAAATGCAAATCTCTTTTAGAAACACCCTCAGAGACACACCTAGAAACAATGTTTTACCAGCTTTTTGGACATCCCTGAACTCAGTCAAGTTTACACATAAAATTAATCATCATACCACCCCATTTGCCAACACACCAAAACACATGCACATATGCATGTATATACAAATGATGAAGAAAAATCAACTTAAATGCAATAAATTAATATTTTAACAGATAAATGTTTATTAAAATTGATTTAAACTTTTCTCATGTAAGAGTTGTTGATCAAAAATGTAAGAAATTTTTAAGGTAATACAATATCAAAAGAAAAGCTTTCAAAAAAAGTATGAAACATTCCAGATGATTTCATTTACTTCAGGTGAGGCTTACAGAATCTAACCTTTTTTTTTTCAGATTCTTGAGGATGATGTTGACATTTAGAATAGACAATAGAATTATTAATAAGAAGAATCATGGAGACAGATTGTGGAAGTCCAGGTGGACTGATCAGTTGAGTTTCCCTGAATATTTCTCAGTAGAACCCATAGGACCAGTATCTTCTGTAGCAAGATGGGCGGCAGCAGCCATATCCATACCCTCCGTAGCCACAGCCTAGGCCACCATAGCCACAGCCATAACCATAGCCCAGGCCACCGTAACCATAACCCAGACCTCCATAGTAGTTGCCGTAGTAGCACATGGTTTCAGGAGTAGAGGATTTGATTGAGTTGCAGGGAATCCGTTTCCTCAGTTTGAACATCACCATCTGCTCATGCCCTTTTATATGCTTCTCAGTGGTGGGTGGGACACATCACAGGACTTGTTGATCACATATTTTCTACTAATTTACACTAGCATACTTCCTGAATCTTTGTTTCATTAGACGATGTGAGACTCTTGTAAGCAAAATGACTTTGTTTTTGAGTCAGCATTCCTATGATCAAATCATGTGCCTTTCATGTGCTTTAGTTATTCTTATTTTAAAACCTTTACTCAGCCTTCATTTATTTAGCTTAAAATATCCGACTAGTTTTCATCTAGTTAACCATTTACTAGCTTCTAGAATGTTGACATTTAAAAGCCTATCATTAATTCCACACATATTATGAGGATCTTCTACAAGGTGAAAAATAACTTTAACAATAGGGCTTACTCAGTAGAATAGATAAACGCTTCTATATTTATTATTTACTTTAATAAGTAAATTTCATGCAGCCATAAAAGCATATAGAATTGTATTTTGAAACTTCATAAACACATCTTCAGGATTTAATAACTGTCAATATTCCACCATTAGTTCCTTCTCTTCCTGTATAGTTTTCATAGTTGTTATTTTTGATGAATATTTTAAAACAAATCCAAGGCAAAACATCACTTTTCTGCAGTGTGTATCTCAGTCAAAAAATCAGTTTAAAAACATTTCCATATCTACAATATCATTATCAACAAATGAAATGTTTTAAAAGTTTTCTTAGCATCCTCTAATCTTGATCATGCTCAAATTTCCTTGATTGATTCACAAATATATTTTTAAAGTCATTTTTTTTTGCACTGGGACTCATTACATTTAGGCATAATTTCTCTAAACTCTTTAAAAATATATAATAGTCTCCAGTGATTTTTTTAAAACATACTTTTGAATAAACAATATTATTATTCTGTAGAATTCTTAAATTTTGGATATGGCTGATGTCTTCTTGGTTTTTCTTTTCATATATTCCTCTGTTCATTATACCATCTGTGTCCTGGCAGGTAGATGTAAAGGGTTGATGAAATTCTGGTCATCCTCCTTATTTTTGACAAGAAAAATACTTTATAGGTGCTTTGTGCACTTTCTTTATTATAATATTAGGAGGCATATGGTATCTGATTGCCTTATTGCTTCACATTTAGTAATGCTGGGATTGTTAATTGGGTTCATGATACAATTTTCCTCATCAGTTTTTATTTACTAATTTTTGCCCCTGATGATGCTACTTAGACCCATTATTACTAGTAGTTCTAAAATATTGATTTTTGAACGTCTGTCATTACATCTCAGACCACCATACCTGTCGCCCAGGCCACCACAGTAGCTGCTGCAGTAGCATGTTGCTAGAAGGGGGAAAGGTTCAACTGAGGACCAGGAAATAATTTTCTTGAGTTTGAGTGTCACCACCTGCAAAAGATTTATACAAAGTAAATAGCAGATGGGACTAACCACAAACAATATTGACCTCGTATTTCAGATTAATTTACAGTAGAGCTTCTCATGAATCTTATTTCTTCATTATGTGAAGTGAGTTCCTCAAGCTATGATTACTTAGTTACGATGCCTGGACTCTTAAGATTAGGAAGGTTCTATTCTATTTTGAACAGTCTTTTCCACTCTATGTGAACTACATAAAATACATATTTAATATCTTGGATCAGGCTCCATGTAATTCCACGAATATATAAGACCTCATTGAATTTTTTCCTTGTTTTTATTTAAGGAATATTGACTTTCACTACATAATCAGATATGCAGTGGATGATTGGAAGAAGAAGGTTACTTGAAGCCACATGTCTATAAATTTTAAGAATTGTTTTCAGCTGGAGCAAAAGATTTTTCACCCCAAAATAATGTTTCTGACTGATTAATGGCATTGACTGTTTGGTTAACTACAAATACACTTCTATCCTATTATAAAGACACCTCCTCTTTCATTATATTTATATTAATTTTCAATGTCCGTGTTTGATTGTATTTTGTGAAGTTGACAATTTACCCATGACTCTGACCATTTAACATTTATTTTATATTATTTTCCATTAATGTATCATGGTTCCACATTCAGAGAGTTTTTGATCTATTTATTTTAGAAACTGATGGCATTTTATGCATTCATCTGTCATAGTGTGATCAAATCTTACTGACACAGATGTGAAAAATGAGGAAAGCTCAGTTTAATGGTGTTGGTGAAGTTGTTTTCTCTTCTGTCCTCCTTCCTCATCACTTTTAGGTGCTTAGGGTTTCTTTTGCTCTGTTTATTTTGCTGGAGAGCCTCTGAAAAATGCATATACAGATTAACTGAAC